AGAGAGAGAGAATTTTAACATTTATTTATTTTTTCTTAGTTCTCGGCGGACACAACATCTTTGTTGGTATGTGGTGCTGCTGAGGATCGAACCCGGGCCGCATGCGAGCGCGCTACCGCTTGAGCCACATCCCCAGCCCCTGGCTCATTTAATTTTAAAATACAGATTCTTGAACCCCAACTACCAAAGATTTTTAAATCAGTAAATCTGGTATGTATCCCTGGAGTGTGAGTGTGTGTGCGTGTGTGTTTATGGAATCCAGGGCCTTGGGCATGCTGGACAGGCATGGGATCTTTATTTGAATAAACTTCTCTGGTGATTATGATGGAAGAGATTAACAGACTTTACACTTTACTTTTTTTTTTTTTTTTGTACTGGGGATGGAACTCAGGGACACTACCATGGAGCTACATCCCCAGATATTTTATTTTGAGACAGGGTATCAGTGAATTGCCTATGCTGGCCTTGAATTTTGCGATCCTTCTTGCCTCAGCCTCTCAAATTGCTGGGATTACAGTCCTGCACATCCTTGCCTGGCTTGCACACCATTCGGGAAAAACACTGAGAAATAAACATAGGAAAGACTTCTTTGGCCTGTCCATTTTGTGAACCTAGGAAGTTCTAAAGAGAATGAAAATTCTGGTATCATTTTAGAAAGCTAGAACCAAACACTATGCACATTTTGTCTCCTGCTGATACATGCCACATTTTTAGCTTCAATTGGCATGTCATGAGTGTTTTACTTAAACCCCATATTTCCAGTCCTTTTTATTTTTATATGGAAAGAATAACGTAGACCATCTTGCACAAAAGAGAATGTAGGTTGTTGTTTTGCTTGAATTTCTGTATGTTTCTGTTTTAATTCCCTATTTAAATGTATATTTCTGTAAATATTGTACAAGGAGAAAGTGCCAAGGATCCAAAGAAACTATTTTGAAATGAAAAGTCTCTTCCTGGTTTAATATAGCCTGACAGATGGACACCTACTACACTCAGATTTCCTTCTCTTTTATTTTTATGAATGATAGAAGGAAGAAATGATTCATCCATGAACTCAGAATTTTCATGTCTTTGTTAAAGGAAGTAAAGGTTTATCAGGGAATTGGTAAAATCTCCACACCTAGTTATATAAAAGAATAGACCCCAGGATTTGGGGCTGATCCTTCTGGACATAAAATTAACTTTCCAGACTAATTGTGTTTAGCTATTTTCTTACTTCATTATTTGTGTGTGTGGAGGGGAACTATAAAAAGGGAAGCAGGAAAAGAATGGATAGAAGGCATTTAAAAAAATTTAAAAATATGGTACTCAGCCAGATATAGTGGCACACACCTATAATCCTACCAACTCTGGAAACTGAGGCAGGAAGAATGCAAATTTGAGGCTGGCCTGAAGAATCTGGGGAGATCCTGTCTCAAAAAAT